TCAAAGAGGACTCTAACTAGCTAGGGGTCCCTCCCTACTTTTTCCTTGCCTGGAAAAAGAGATATCTAAGATCTTAAATAGATATACGAACCAAAACTCTGAGGGCAGCTTCGTTAAGCTACCGTCGGCGGCAACACCTCCCCCCGGAATCACCTTTTTTTCTCGAGATACAATGCTACCCAATCCAATAAAATAGACTATTGTTTAACAGTGAGTACAGATGCTCCCAATAGAGATTGGATTTTTATTGGCAATTTTTAATCTTTATTTGCCGTTCTATTTTATTGACTAGTTATTTTCATTCTTTTAACTATCCCTTTTCTTGACTCCCATTTTTCATTAATAGCATCCTCCCTCTAGTGATATCCAATCTCTTTAAGGTATCATTAATAGTTGTGAATTGATTTTTCTCCATCCTGCTTTAGTGAGAATCTCACATTCATTTACAGATGAAACTCGAAAAATTAGAATATCGTGCAAAAGTTCATTTATTTCAGTAAAGCAACTTAATATATGAGATAGACTCATTACATGCAAAGCAAGATAGTTCAAGCCATGATTTGTCATAATTGTCATCTCATAAACATGTTGCCAGGCTTCCCAGCAAGCCCGCACCTTTGCTGCTTCCCGAAACGGCCCTGGGAAGCACGAGGCTCGGGACTCGGTTGGCAAACCAGGCACTGTGCAGAAGGCGTAAGGCAGTTGCCGTGATCTCCACCAGTTGGAATGCCTTCGTTTCAGATCTACTGCCTTCTGCACGCCCTGTTGAAGATCCACAACCCTCTTCCATACATATTCATACAATAGGACAGCTTTATTATCATGACACCTTTTTGAGTGGACAGTGAACTACCTCTGCTTCTGATTGTGTTCCACCTGGATAGGGAAGCTGCCACCACTGGGCTCCCTGCTCTCCCCTGCCACTGGCTGCTTTGCCTTTGTCCGCACGTGGTGGGGAAGAGCTCAGAGGGGAGCTCGGGTTCAAGGGGGAAAGTGTGTGTTATGGGGGAGATCCATCCCCCCAATCCTTGCTGTCAGGGAAGTGATCCGTGTGGTTCTACTACCAGGAAACTTTGTAATGGGAAGTGTGTGTATGGGGGAGGAACCACCTGGAACTACCCAAAAATGTGATGAGCGGGTCATGCGCATGGGGCTACATTCAGAGTATAAGACACACCCAGATTTTCACCCTCTTTTGGGGGGTAAAAAGGTGCGTCTTATATTCCAAAAAAATATGGTAATCAGCCTTCTGATTTGCATATAGGTGGTTGCAAATACAGTATCTGGCCAATTCAAGGTAAAGAATCCATGGAAGAATTACCACCAAAGTAAACCTGGGATACCCAATGTACTCACAAATAGTTGTCTAAATGCTTAGCAGGTTCTTGTCCCTCCCCCCCTTTAATGTTCGAGATTTTAAAAAAATCTTTCCAAAAATCCTTCAGTATAAACATAAGTCATTGGCTCTTTTTTTTACAAATTCTTCCCAGTATAATTTCTGTTAGGAAAACCTTGCACACTAGTTCTACTCAAGCAGCCCTATCGGTATAAAACTTTACAGAACCTTAACCACTTGTTATCTGAAAAGCTTTGTGGACTCAAAATCTGAATTTTGAAATAATCATAGCAACACTTGAAGTTAGTGTAATGAAGTATTTTGTAAATTTAATCAGAAGTTACACCAATTTTTATTTTTTTTAGATTGTGTAAATATTCTTGTACATTGTTTAATGTTTTAATTAGTTTTATATTTCAGTGGCATATGAATCCATATTACTTTTAAAAAATCTACAGGTTTAATAAAGTAGAAATTAAAATCCAAAGCCACTAATATAAATGAAGTTAAAAAGTGAGAGCAGATGCGTGTTTTCATCAATCAATCAAGATTAGGCGATTGCAGCCAGATAATCTTTAACTTCAGTTGGAGTGAGTCTTCTAAATCCTGCCTCATTACAGATTCCAACTTCTATGTTATCTTCAGTCATCTGTCCTTCAAAACTTTCCTAATAATGAAAAGATGCACAATTTTGTTAAATAATTAAATATTAAAATAACTTTGAAAATTTTATCAAATTGAAAATGAATATTTTTCACCTTTAATGTTAAGATAGCAGTATGAATAGCATCTTCAAGCTCTAAGTCTTCATTGTATCTGCAAAAGAACATACATTTTCTAAGAAATTTAAAATATCCCCCCATAACTACAAAACTAAAATTGCACATGTGCAAAATTGCCCCCATAAATTCAGGAAGTTTTTTTTTATTTCTTCATGGTCAAGAAACCATTGTTGTGCCAATAAACATATTTGAAATTTTCAAACTATACCAGGGACTGCCATGAAGATATAACTGCAAATGAATTGGAAGAGCTTGCTAATCCATATAATGTGACAAAATGACTTTTCACTAAAATATTACAAAATATCAATTTACCAGAAAACAATCTGATAAATTGCTACATTTTCCTATGACCCCCTCACTGGTTCTGGACCAGCTTCCAAAGTGCAGACCTGCTATCACTATTGTTATTTTCAAAAACACCATGTGCAGTCTAAAGTCATCCTTGTAAAGTAGGAGAGTGCTAGACTCACACTTTGTTACAGCATAGTAGAAAACCTGTTGCATATTTCTCTTAATTTCCATTTATAGACCTCAGTTTCTGCAAAATGGCAAATTCAACCATTTACAACCTTCCCTTTTTATGTATGAATTACTGGATTGAAGAGGCAGAATGGATACATTAAGCCTTACAGTTTTTTCCCTAGGGTTGGGCGAGGATCAAAATGGTGCTAAGATATCATTTTGCTGCTGAACACCCCTTCTATTCCTTCTAAAAATTGACTTTAAAAAATCCAAAAAAATGCTTGGCCTGCTCTAGTAATATCTTACTGTCACCAGCAATGATGTCTAGAAAGCAAACATAAAGGTTTACTCAAGGTTGTTTTAAAATATAGCATAGCTACATTATGCATTGTAAATCACTTCAAGATATTCGAGTAGAGGAAGCATTGTAAATATATTAACAGAATACAAGAAAAATGTGACCCCTGGTTTTCCTTTTAGCATGATACAGATTCCTCTCTTAAATAAAAGTACTTAATTTTTGTTGTTGTTTTTTAAGAGTGAAGGGGATGCTTATTTCTATTTTATAGAATAACCAAGATGGTGGACCAAATTCACTATCAAGATGAATTTTGATAAAGTCAATTGAATATGAGTTTATAACACTACTAACATTTAACTATAAACCATCCAAGAACTTAAAAAGAATAATCCAGAAATGGAAAATTCAAATAAGAATACAAGTCTGTAACAATTTACTAGATTACGGAATTTCTATTCTGCATTACCTTTTCTCCAGAAATGTCTTTCCATTTACATAATTTTTCCCCATTGCAGTTGCTTTCCATGCAAAGTATGCTCCCTGGAAGGTGAAAAGTACAGCAAATTAGAAATATTTATATTATAGCTATCTTCTTAATAATAAGATATAAAAATAATGTATAATACTTATTTACTACTTAGTGAGAATAGAAAAAAATAACCTTATATTACTAGAAATTCCTTGGAAACTTTCTAACTGTGCAAATTCATACACAAAAGTTATAAAAGCGGAATGCATGGAGATGAGAGGCATATGATACTACCAGGCAAATAAAGGTAGTTCTCTTCCTACAACAATTCATTTAGGGACTATTCAGATTACAATGCACTAAAAAAATGACAATATTTTTTCATACAAATTATTGTTGTGGCATCCCCATGGTCACATGCTCAAAATTTAGATGCTTGGCAATTGACTCATATTTATGATGGTTGTAGTGTCCTGAGGTCATGTGATTAACTTTTGCAGCCTTTTGCAGCAAAATCAATGGGGAAACCAAATTCACTTAACGACCATGTTACTAATTTAACAATCTCAATAATTCATTTAACAATGTAGCAAGAATTGTAAAATGGAGCAAAACTCACTTAACAATTGTCTTACTTAGCAACAGAAATTTGGGCTCGATTGTGGTTATAGATCAAGGACTCTCTGTACTTATTTTTTAAGCTTTTGAGAAATAGTATTCACTGGAGATCTGCAAACATTCTACTCACAGATTAGTCATTCTGAATCCAGATTATGTATATGTTCTGATATAGAGACATATACACCAAGCAGAAGTATTGGCATAATGGAGAGAGAGGAACAGAAAAAGCGACAGTAGCAGATAAAGACAAATACAGAAAAGACATGAAAATCAGAAGTGGCAAGTAAAAGAGGTAAGTAGGTCATTGGATATGCCATGCTTGAAGTCAACCTAGATCCTATCAATGACAACATCCTGTACTTTAAGTGTACTAGCCTTGTTCTACCATCTAGAAAGACGCCTTCAGATTTTGTTACAGCAGAATTTCCAAAATACAACAAATTTGATTTAAGTCTGAAATAAAAAACATCTTATGTTTTATGCTAGTATTCACCAGTCGTGAAATGAATGATATAATAATGGGCTAAAGTAATAAACATTCTGACAGTCTAGAAAAGGAATTTTATCTCAGGATTATTCTGACTACTGGTGGAAATCTGCCACTACCTGCTCAGCCACACACACACACACACACACCCAGGATGGGGGGTTGGGGTTGAAATCCTTGGACAGGCAGTTATTTTGTGCAGAATATGCAGATTGCAAATGACAATCACATAATATGTCACTTAGCAAACATCATATGAACAGGTTCTCAAGCACCCAGATTATAACTATGTGACTGTTGGGGTGTGCAGTGTTTTGCAATGATCAGACATGTTTACAGGCCGTAAAACACTCATCCCAGACCATTATTTTTGAACCATCCTTTATTACCTTAAAGCCGTTAGTTGAGGAACCATCTTAACCTACTGGGACTGACTCTTCCCACCTGTGCTGGCAAAGGAGGCATGCTGTGGGCCCCTTCAATCTAGGAAATTTGGCTGACAGGGTCCAGAAGAACCTTTTCTGCTATGGCACCAGCTCTTTGAAATATCGTATCCTGTGGGAAAAATTTGCTCGCACCCTCCTGTCCTTCTGCAAGAGCCTGAAGACATGGCTCTGCCAGATGGCATGGGGCTCTAACAGGGAGGGATCACACTGGAAGTGGTTGATGAATAGAAAGGCAATTCATCCTCCCCTCAGAACAGCCTTCTCCTTCCCTCCCCATTTTCTTTCTATAATTCTGTTTTTCATTGTAGTTTTCATTTTTATTGTTTTAGAAATATTTCTTTTATTTTAATGGTTTTAATGCTGCAAAGTCATCCAGAGTTGCTTCAAAATGAGATAGATAATAAATATTATTAATTAATAATAAATTAAATTAAACTTTAAAAAGTCAAGGACTAGCTGTACTAAGATTCTGAAAATATGGGAAGTACCATACATAGTAACATGTAAGCCTATCTGTGGACGATTGTCAAAATTTTTGTATATTTTATTTTTCATAATTAGTTTATCCATTGGTTTATTTTTCATTATGACTAAAGGTCAGCTTATCTGCAGATGTGTTTATCCAAGAATACATATTGGATGTATGGGCACTTTTAAAAAGTATTATTGTATATAATAACAGATAAACCTGTCAGTGGATAAGCCAAACCCAATTTTGAGAGGGAATTCTGACACTTAAAAATTCTCGACTTATTTATGGGTATATGTAGCAGCATTCTTATGTCACTATACATATAAATACAGATTACCAAAAACAGGAGATTTAGACAGGACAATCGAATATATTTTATAACAGATTATCATTTGAATCACCTAAATGGCTACGAAGTTACAAATAATCTTGACAAGATAAAAAGAAGTCTGGCTTTTGTATAATCTAGGAACTCAAAACCAAAGGTATCGAACATGCTACCACATTACCCAGATCTAGTAGTCCCCTCATAGGATTTTAAAGCTCACCATCCAAGCTGTGTAACAGCTGTGAACATTCTAGCCTGGAAATTTTAACCATCAATTATACATATATCTTCCTTAAAACTTACTGCAGAAAAACCGTTCATAAGTTCTTCAATCAAATAGCTAGACCAAGTTTTTATACAAAGATATGAAGAAATTCCATTTTAAATACTTACAGATGGATCCGACTGGAATAAATATGGTCGCCCCTCATTCCACCCACATATCAATAGTGACACTCCAAATGGACGTACACCTCTATTAAGACATCAGAAATAAACAAGGGCAGGATTTAATAAGACGTTGAATATTTGTTGTTATTTATTTTTTACAGTCATATCAGTTTATAATTTAAAGCACTATGTGGTTACATTATGTAGTTAATAATTTTAAATTTATCACTGCTGATACTGCTCCTATATTTTTAGCAGTAGCTTTTAAGGCAGAAATTAAGGAAGTGAAAATTTTATTAGCATGAAGACTGATTGAAAACAATGCATATTGCAAATGAAAAATTATTAAAGGAGTGACAGAGGAAGTCATCAGTATTTATTTTCCCTAAAATATTGCTGAAATGTAATAATATTACTTTAAATCTTTTTTTAAATTTCTTACATTAAGAAAACTCATTTATTAAGACATTAGTCATGCTAGTTCCTTGAGATATAGTTATTTTCTGTTATTCATTCTTCATTTAAGAGCATAATGCAACATGGGTTAGGCAGCAAGCAACTGTGGCACTCTTGTTCAGACTATATATTCAAGAATGTCCTAAATGAAGGCTCTTCAAAAGGAAGAAAAAAAAGCAAAATAAAAGAAATCATGAACTTATCTATGCTACAAAATAAGAAGACATTTCAGCATATATACCAGTAAATTGTACGGCTGTATGAAAAAGTCCTGCATGCTTTCAGTTTTAAGCTGTATTCACATGTTTAATCAACTTTTCACTCATAGAAACCACACAAGATTTGTACTTTGATGAAAATTTCTGTAGTCAGATTGAGATGCATAATTTTTATTAACATAACCAAAGTCTTTTTAAGGTTTTGAGTGAGTTTATGTGCAAACACAACAAAAAAAATTCAAGAATGTTAGGATCGAACGTAGCCTATCAGCAGCGAGCTTTGGCTGACCAATCAAAATGCATGGAGGCTAAATCTATGAGCCAATCAATGTTGTCATACTCTGTCTATAAATAGACATGAAAAGCATTGAAAAATTTAATTTAGCTCTGGCTGCAGGTACTGAGTACTAAGCAGCGGCATCGAATCATTGTGCTTCATAAAGAGGGCTATTCCTGTACAGGAATCGCATCACAGTGAGCAGAGTGGTTGAAAAATACCAAATAACTGTTCAGTTGATGACAGGCTCCGCTCTGGAAGACCAAGAAAGTCAATAAAACAGCAAGATCGGGCTCTGCAATGCATTTCGATGGCTGACAGGAAGCTCACCTCACCTCAGATTACAAGAATTTGGGGTGAAACATGTGATGCAAAAGTGTGCACAAGTACAGTGTGTCTCAGACTACTTGCCAAAGGGGTCAAAGGCTGCAGAGCTCACAGACAGTCGCTGCTCTTGTCGACATGTGTGGACCAAGAAGTATGCCGATTGGACCAATAAACAGTGGGCCAAGGTCATCTTCAGTGACGAGAGCAATTTTTACTTGAACTGGGAATCAGTGCAATAAGTATGTCAGATTTCCAACTGAAGAATTTAGGCCTTGCTGCCTGAATCTATCTGTGAAGCATCCATTGCATGTGATTATCTGGAGCTGTATCGTTGCTTCTGGTATTGGTCAGATACAAATCGCACAGGGAATCATGAATTCCAAACAGTATGATGAAGTTCTGGAAAAGAGCATGCTTCCTTCAGCTTAGCAACTTGTAGGGAAGGACTTTACTTCCAGGATAACAATACTTCTTGTCATCAAGCCAAGTCTGTCCAGCAGTGGATGAAGAAGAATGGTGTTCAACTCCTGGAATGGCCAGCTCAGAGCCCAGATTTGAACCCAATTGAGAACTTGTGGTCCAAGATGATTATGAAATAAGCAAGAAGCACCCGAAGATCAAGCAGGAGCTGATTGAATCCATTATTGCAGCCTGGCACCACACTGACACCAAAGCTCACATACAAAGGCTTATACAGTCTATGCCGAAGCAATGCCACCTGCTGATAAGCAAAAAGGGCTGGCCAATTTCATATTAGTAACCATGTTTGGCTACCTAAAAGCTCCTTTTCAGGGCCACAAACAATAAAAATGTTAACAAAACACTAGCATCAGCCTTAGTAATTGCCACTGGGTATGCATCAGTTAATCTGTTTTCATAGTTATTGTAAGCATGCATTGTAAGCAGGCAAGAAAATTCACAATCCCTATCCAAATAGCATCAAATTACAAAAAGCTTATGCTTTTCACTTACAAACCACCAGTATTTATTTAAATATAACAATATTTGCATACATATCATAAAATCAATGGCCTATGCAAAAATGTCATAAACCATAAACTGTGCACAACTTTTTCACACAGCTGTAACTACTGTCCAATTCACCAAAATCTCACACCAAGGCAAGGAAAGGCAAGAATAGAATATTTTATTTCAGAAAAATAATTTAAGTTTATGTACATTAGGAACCTTTATATTTTAATACAGTGGTATCCAACCTTCCAGTTCTGCGGACCCGTAGTGGCAGGGGGAAGAGGACAGTTTCATGTGCAAACACCCCATTTCACAAATGGAGCTTCCCGTGCTCATCCATCACTAGTGGGCCAGGGGTGTTAAGGACCTCTTAATACATTTAACAGATATTTACATGCACTAAATTATAAAGGTAGCCCTTGATTTACAATCAGTTACAACTTACCTGAAAAAGGGAGTTATAAGCCGGATTTCCCCCACCCCTTCCGCAATCACATTACTGAACTTTGGGCAATACTGCTGCAATTATGGCCACTTGCAACAATCTTTTATGTCAGTTTTGCAAAAATCCAGCACTCACTGCTTTGTCAGGAAACATATTCTAAGAAAAATTGAGTTTGCTTAACTATAGTGTTCACACTTATGAGCAAAGCAAGTCATAAAACCAGGCTGATCACATGACTGAGTTTTACCACCATTAGTCATGGATTATCTGTAGATACAGCTGAGCAGTCACAATGTAATGTGCCTGGTCATTCCCTATTGATTGCCACCCTCTAAAATGCTCTAAATGAAAAATGTCTTAAAAAAAAATTAAACTTATTATGTGGTCTGCAGATACCCATCAATATTAATAATCAGGCAGCCTCTTTTTGTTTATTTATGAGGGCGTTCTTTTATTAGTAGTACTGTATGTTTCCTTGGGAACTAGAAAAGAGCAAGTGGAAGAGTTTGCATATTCCTATGTATGACAAGGTTATGCTTATTAAATAATCTCTACAAAATTATTCTCTGGTATATCAGAAAAAATGTGTAGTCACCACCTGCATAATTTGAAGAATAAAGAAATGAGTGTATTTTATTTAAAAGCAAGTGACATACCCAGATTGAGTGTACTCTTGCATCACAGAAGCGATCCTCTGCACTAGCTGAGCTGTTGGAATAGGCTCATGATAAACCAAGTAGTACTGCTGAGCCAATTTACGAGCTCTATGAACAAGTACTCTACAAAACAAAGTAAAACACACACACACACAAGCAAAAAAGATTATTAAATTACAGTGGAAATGTGTTTCATGGTTTTGGTATTCACTTATTGTTAGTAGAGAAACTGAAGTTACAGGGAGAAAAATAATGAGTAAAATCAATAGGCCCGCCATATCACACAGAAATAACTCTGGCAGAAAGTAAAACAGGCTGTGTGTTTTACCCTGTTTAGCTTGCCTCTGGTACTTACCTTCTTCATCAGTATAACCTACTGAATAATAATAGAAAGTAGAATCATAGTGTGGAAAGAATCTAAGAAATGCTTTAGTCCAACCTCCACCTCAAGGCAGATCTTATATTATTCCAGCATAATTTGCAAATAAATTATTTCCAAATCAGACAATGTGATTGTCTGGATTTGTTTTCTCATTTTGTCTCTCATAGTTGAGGTCTACCTATGATGTCAATTACAGGCCTCTCTCATCTTTTTAAGTGGGAGAACTTGCACAATTGGTGGCTGACTAAATACATTTTTGCCCCACTGTATATGTAGTTCCATTGAGCACCACCCACTGAGTGTGGTTGGTCAATCAATTGCAAATCCATCTGGTGATGATACTATTTATCAAGAAATGAGCTGTGATCTACTTTGTCAAATACTTTACTGAAGTCCAAGTATACTATGTCCCCACATGTTGCTGGTCACTAATTTAATCACTTTATTAAAAGAAGATGCAATGTTTATTTGGCATGATTTGTTAACAAACCAAAATAATGCTGGCTTCTAATAATCCCCTTGTTCATTTATAAGTACTTAAAATTTTTCTATAGGAGAGCAATTATTTTTATACTATTCTAAAAAGTAATAGGCCACAAATCTCCAAGAATTATTTTTAAAAAGACATTGACTAATTCATTAGCTTTATGGATTGCGCTACCAGGTCAGTCTCACAATGCTGATACGTGTATGTACACACACATATATGACATGCACTTTTCAGAAAAAGGCTTAGCTGTTATTAATGAAGTGTTTGAATTTTCACATTAAGAAATACATCTGGGATTACAGCCTTGGCAATTAACAGCTTATACATTGTTGCAGAGCACAGAAGAATCCAAAATAGTATCATGCACAAAGCCAGGTAGCTAATATATATATATATATTTTTAAAGGCTAAAAATGTAGCTTTTAGCAAATATACCTTCTAAACAATATAGTGTATAACACCTGTTGAATTGTAGATAATTTTTAACCAACTTGATTTCACCTATCTCACAGTCTGCTCAAAGGCCAAAGGTAATATTTCCATTTAATATTATTTTTAAATATTTTTTCTCATTTACCTGTAATCAGGGCCCATGCCACTATATACCAAACCTATGTGTTTAGTAATAGGTTCCACTTTGTGAACACTCCGTTCCTCATACAGTATAGATTTCTGCTTTTTCTCTGTTGCTAGTACCACACCATTTGCAGCTACATAAAAAAGAATGCACTAAATTAATACTATTAGAAAATCTTCCTACTGCTTCCCTTGTGACACTTCAAATATTCAGTATATAAATCAATAAACTGATCAATTTTTATGTGTCATACTTGAGACATTTTATCAGATATTTTCTATAACTATTCAACTGCCATTTCAATAGATTATATTAAAAAAAAGCAATCATTATAAATTCTATTTCATCCTTTTTCTTTTCCCAGTCAAAATACAGTGTATGATCCCTTTAATAAGACTCAGTGTAAAATGACTCCTCAGATTTTCATGAATGTTGTAATTGCTTTTTCTCTGTATTTACTATTTGTTAATTATATGATCTTATAATTCTTAGATCATCCAGTGCCTAAATACTACATTTACCTTGTTTTAAATTATATATGTTGATTTATTTTATAAATAAATATATTAAATTTATCTAAAATTAAGTAACTTTCCAACTGAAATGTGGAATATAAATATTTAAATAAACCAGAAAATATCCTGGATTAAATGAACTTATAACTGTTTTTTTAATTTCCTTAGAAATGTTTATTTAAATAGAAAATAAATGTTCAGCTAAATAATCAGTCTTTCTGACTTGTTTTAAATACATATTTTAAAACACTGGAAATACCCTTTACATCTACATGATAATACAGACATAATGCCCTTCTAAAATATAGGTTTACTCTCTCATAAACGTGTAATGCACTTTATGTTAGAAACTTGAGTAGTATGCATGAATTATCAAAATTGAAATTGTGTGTGATTAGGCCAAACATTTATTCTAGCAATCTGTTTTCACAGGGCCAAGCAAAAGCTTTTTTTAGGCAGACAACAAAATGTTATCATTTTTTTCTTACTTCATATTTCAACTAAGGGCATGGAAAAAAAGCATTTACACTAAAAAAAAGTTGGTAAATATTAATTAAAAAAACATCTTTAATACCTTTAATTCCAACTGATGGAGCTCCTGCTGCAACAGCTGCCAAAGCATATTCAATTTGAACAAGCTTTCCAGAAGGACTGAAATATATATATATATAATTCATTCATGGGATATTTGTGAAGAAAATATTTTGTTTGTAAAACAATTTATTTTAAACAAAAACATACTGAGCACATTGCATAGTATATTAGAATATGTACCAGAAGTTAAAACTTACCTTCTGCAAAATACTTGCCTAGAGCTAAAATGTTAGACAATTTTCTCATAGAAATTAATAAATTCAGTATAATTTACTCTGGAACAAATTCACACACAGTAATGTTTAGGAAAAGTCACAGATATTTTTAATTCCTAAGTGGAAGCTTTAAATAAAAGATGTTATTTCATTTTTTAATTTTTTGGGGGGGGGGAATTCTTTACAAAGTTCTATGCAACTAACAGCTCAAAAAGCCTACATATGCTAAAGGATGTTGAATAAACATAATGTCAGGTATAGTTGCCAAGATCAAATCCTCAGAAAAATAATCTGAATTAAATGTAATCTCCACTGAATCCCTTGCAAAATCTAACAATATATTTTTCCATAAAATCTTCACACGTGAGGTTAATACACACATACATACATACATGTACATACATATTACACATACACACATTTATTTATGAGCAAAAAAAATTCAATACAAAATGGTTTCGGCCTGGAAGGCTCCTAGGGTGGACAGCTGAAAGGCAAAAGGGAAGCAGTATGGGGCATACCAAGTCAAAACATCATATACACACACACACACACACACACACACACACACATATATACATACATAAACACACACACACACACACACACACACAAGTCCCAAAATCAAAAAGTAGTAGAAAAGCTCAACATAAATTAGGAAAAACTGAGAACAAAAAGTGAAACAAAAAGTAATTATAATTAGTGCTAATGGCTGGCCCTTAATGAAACCATATTTAATCTTGTGTATCAACTTTTTTTTTGAAGGACTGAAATCAAAGTTTACTTAATTTAAAAGAATGAGCCCTGAATAGTTCCATTAATTTTTTAAAAAACAACAACCCTGAGAGGAATATTCTTCAACCAAGTTCCATATATATTTAAAAGTATGGGTTCAATGTTTGCATTATAGTCTATCATAGAAAAAAAATCTATTGAGAAATTAAGTGGCATACAAAACAGAATTATAATATATCCAGTCTTTAATTATATGAAACTAAAATGTGTAGCCCAGCCCAAGATTATTGTCACAAAATAGTGACAAGTTATTCGGACTTCAGTGTAGTCATGTTTCACAATTTTAATACTGTATCATTAATGTAGCATTGTAGCAATGTACCAATGAACTGTGCAATCCTTTTTATTGCCAATCACAAATGAACTTATTTATATCCTGAAAAAATACCATGTCTATAAATGTTAACAGGACAACCAAGGTATCTCAAGTACTTTTAAGTTTTACTTTTAAGTTTTACTTTTGAGTTTTATTTAAGAGAATGCATCCAAAATCTCGGACACATGATCTCTGTGGCATTGAAATTTGGCAATTTTCATAAAGCAATTTATGATATGAAAATTATCGTAAAGCATTTTATGACATAATACAAAATATAGTAAAACATTTCTTGTGATCAGCTGCTGATGTCTGACTGTAGTATACAGTTCAACTTTGGCTACATTTTAGGCAAACACATCTCCGAATATCTCCCTGAAGTTTTAAAAAAAAATCCTGTATATTAGAAACTATTATTGAAGGCACTGACGAATCTGGTAAGGATTATCTCAGAAACAATGACCCAAAGGGTCATACCGTAGATGGCCTAGTTATTACAATAAAGTCATAGAACTGTATCTCAGAGCCATTTTATAACTCGGTTTGCATATCTTAGGAAGAAAAAAAAGCGACAGTACAGTTTATCGCAGTCCTGTTATATTTTCCCTATTAAGTAGCAATGCTTAATTTGATATATTACCAAGCACCAATAATCAATCTACCAAAGTCAATGCGGTCTTGCATTACAGGAAAAAAAATATGATCTTATCCCATTCATTATTGTTACCTGCCTGCCACTTCTTTCTACAATGCGCAACAAACAGCAGCAACAGTGACTCCACAAAATCACTTCCCCTTCTATTATTCCAGAAAGAGCAAGCAATCAAGCAAATAGATTTTCTCACTCCTGATACGACCCACATAGGGCGCGCTGGCCGTTCAAACGATTCGCCTCAAAGTTTCCCTTTCAAGAAAAGAAGCTACCTGAAAGTGGTGAGAGAAAAACTGTAGCCACGTTCCGCCATTTTAACTCGCGCCACGGAGCCTCACAGCCGCGTCAGGTTAACTGCGGCTGCGTGCGCTGGGAGCCTTACGCGTGCGCAGAGAAAGAAATCTTTTTGGCACGTGATTTCCGCAGTTTTACGACGAGTTTGCCAGATAATTCCCGAAAGCAGCACGTGGCCCTGAATTTCTAGGAGTGCCGTTAATTATGGTGAATCTGCGAGAAGGGCTACAGGTGCTCTCAGGGGTAGCCTCTGGTGCAGTTTGAAAGTCAAAACTCGAACAACGAGAACGGTAGTTCACCAAAGACGTGTGACAGTGACATGACGATGCGGGTGGTTTGAATCGGTTTCCCAGGATTCCTTGCGGTGGCCACCACCCGGATTTCGTAGAAAACCTGTGGGCGGAGCCACGAGAGGTCCCGGGAAAGGAAGGAGTATGGCGGCTGTGTTGGTGTTCTCATCCCCTTTCCCCAAACTCCGTCGTCTTCTCCAAACCTGTTGGGGACAACTTGGCGGCCACGCGGGGCCATGGGGGTAAGGTTTCTAAGGTGCTGTCCATCACGATAGCCCTCAGGAGCTCAGTGGGAAATTTCCATTCGTTGAAAGTGCTCAATCCAAGGAGGGAATTGAAGGCTTTTTTAGAAAACCTGGGCAAGTCTCTCAGCCCCAAGAAGCAGGCAAAGACAAGCAGTTCCTGAAATTTTGACAAGAAAGCTGCAAGGAATAGTCCAGGCAGTCGCCAGGAGTCAAAAATTGACTTGACGGCAGACACAAAAAGATGAGGAACAAGAGACGATTTCTCATTTTTTTAAAAAACAATTGAATGATATGAGATATACATACACTTTAGATACCTAGCCCTGTGCATTTCACTGTATACATATTTATTCAGAAGTAATTTCATTTATTTTCAGGGCTGCCTAATTCCTTTTAAGTGTTTAAAATTACTGTCATGGTCAATAAACCTTATGTTAATATAGTTATTTTTCATTGTTCAATAAATGTGTTGAAGTTCCCTGCGGATGGGCTCCAGTACCAATCCAGCTTCAGATGTTTTGGTTTAAAATCTAAATGCTAGTCAGTTCAGAATGAATCCCATTAAAAAAGGTGTTACTATTCCATATTTAATTTAAACTATTTTAAATAGACTAAGATACGGCACTATTTGAATTAATATCTTTTCTTTAAGCTCCTGCTTTAGTAATACCAGCTCCAGATTCTTTATTCAATCCTGTGGAAGAGAAAACCGAGTATTTTGAAAACCCCAGCTTTTTAGACAGCATACTTTGGATGCCAGCTCCAAAGTCCAGGCGGACAATTGAAGTTAATCGTTGCAGACGAAGGAATTCTGGCCATCTTATAAAAATAAAGGTAATTTGTTAAATTTCCTTGTGGAAAAAATTGGACTTTGTTTCCCTTGCATTGCTTTTATAGGTTTCGTTCTTCCCTATCAATAGGAGTAAGTTGCAAGCAAGTTCAGAAATATAATTGAACATTTGTTTCATAGTGGGTTTACTGTGAATGTCTCTCACCTTAAGACTGTTTTTTCTTTTAGAGAAACATAGATATTTGTCCTGAATGTGGCAACCTGAAAGAGAAGCATGTTCTTTGTGGCTATTGTTATGAAAAGGTTAAACTGGAAACCTATGCCATAAAAAATCAAATTAGATTATTGGAAAATGGACCACATAAGGCTCCCACTGTAGAAAGTGTTGTGCTCTATACAGGAGAAAAACCCAGAAATGAAGATGAAGACAAGCGAATTATCGAAAGAAACAGGAAACGTCCATCTTGGTTCACACTGGACTAAACAGACATTGCAATGGAATGATTGATTCCCTTATACAAATCCTACTTTGGATAATATACATCCAGAAGATTGCACTGTACTTTATGGGGAATTGGCTGTTAACTAGTGATAACATAACCTTATAGTAACATTTGGTAAATAACTTGTCGTTTGCAGAAGTAACGTGTAACTGCATACAAAGATGTATTGTATGTTATTTCAATATGAATTTAAAATGCGTTTGCAATTAAAGCATATTCAATTTCATGAGTCCTCTATTGTTTCATTTTGTGGGCAATTTTTCGAGCTGTGGAGAATATTGTGATAAACCTCATTTGCAGCAAGTTTTCCAACTTAAGTAAAACTCCACATCGCTTGGTGTAAGGAGTATGCCTGAGCACGGCTGGGGGGGTGAGATGGTGCCTTTTCCCCTTTTCTTTTTCTTTCCCTCTTTGTTTTTTTCTTCCCCTCTTTCCTTATTTTTTCCCCTTGCTTTCTTCCCCTTTCCTTATTTTTCTCAAAAAGCCTCCTTTTTGCTAGTAGTTTGTAGCCACTTTGAGAACAAACCAGGTTAAGTTTATCCAATGCTTGCATTTTGTGGGTGCATCCAGGCAACAATACAGCAAAACTGTCAAAATGATAGCTGTGATAGTTGATCAGAGCTCTGTTTTTTATGTGCAACAGGTTTAACATTTAGGAACAGGTAAATTATTTGCTTTTCTATGAATACACAATCCTTAAAAGGGCTCTTCTGTAGAGAACCTGCCATGGTCCAATTTAGACTAGAAATATAATAGCAAAGGAAAATATTTTCCCCCACTATGCTTTGTCCTGTTTCCCTACTGGAACTGGCTGTTTGCAACACACAAGGATGGAATACTTTCCTAAGAGCTCACAATTCAAGAATACCAGTGTACACACATTTGCTAATGCTAATCTAATGCGCCTTTCATTAAGTGCACATGAGGTATCTCAAGGTGGGGAAAGCCATGGGGCCCTAGTGATAGAACAGGCCCTCAAGGCCTCCCCAGCCCACTAAAATACTTCATGCTTTTCCTTCCCTTCCTGCCACACGACTCAAGTTGCAAAGATCTGTCTCCTCTCTGCCGTAGTTTCTTTGCCTTTGAGAGAGAGGAGAGAGTTGGTTGGAAATGCTTTTTGCTCCAAGAATGTGTGCTCTTCCGTGCCATAATATTGCGCAGGTTCAGGCACCCATTCTGTTCCGACACAGTTCTCAAACACAACAAGCATGCCTTTTTTCAACTAAATGTTGTCCCACAGTGTCTGTCTGCATTAAAATGGGGTGTTTGCGTGCAAATGAGCACATGGAAATGGAGTGATCTTTGAGGGCAATCCCGCTGTTTTTCTGCTTTCTTCTGCTTTCTTCAGCTTGGATGGAGCCCGGGCACCTGACATAAGAGCTGTGCACCTCAGCCACAGATGGCATTGTTCCCTGCACCCTCCCTTGGATCAGACCTACGGGGATGCCCTGAGGCCAGTGAGCAACCACCCATCTGCCTTGACCCTGCCCCCTGGGGGTACGCATAGAGGACAGTGAGCAGGTAGAGGCTGGCATCCTGGGTGAAAGGGAGGCATGCAGAAAGCAGTCAGTCTGTGGGAGAGGACAATTGCCAGGGATACGAGACTCCACACCAGTCCACACACCCAGTGGGTGGTAGGGCAGCCCCACAGATCTAAGGCTGACCGCTTTCCGGCCTGGATGGCCCCCACCAGGCTATAGATCAGTGCCCAGTTGGGCTGGGCTGGGCCAAGGCACCACAGGCCTGTCCTTCACTGTTTCCAGGGCAGCACCGTGGGCCAGATCTAACATCCCTGATTTAGACTGATCACTGAGCAAGGGGATCCCCTCTCAGAGTGGTGTCCAGCTAACTATTCCAGACTGTCACAGTTCTGACTCAGAATGGTGGTCACATACCAGATCTAATATTCTTATTGAAGCAATGTTGACATAATGGTGATTTGACCTGTCATGGTCAAATCACGCCCTGATAGCTCCAAGACCATTTTATACCTACCCCCTCCAGGGAGGTTGGGAGAGGGCAGCCATTAGCATGATCATCCCTGGTGCCTCACTGAGCCAAATGGATTCCAGGAGAATCTGGGTGATATTCTGCGCATGTGCGGGCTTGGAATGGCGACCGAGCTTTTTTGCTCCGCTCAAATCCGACGAAGAAGCGCTGGGAAGCCTTCCAAACGGACCACAAAATCTTCTGATAGGGTCCCTGGGGATGTCTGAGATCTGGGGGACCCGAAGACACCAGATAGCTGGGGGGATTACCACTCCCGGACGNTTGAGATGTGTGTATTTATTGGGTAACGTGATTTATGACACAGAGTGAGGGGAGGAAAGGAAGAGGGGCAAAGTTCAGAAGCAGATAGACAAAGCAAAAGAAATGTCTGCAAATAAGAATTGCCTAATGAATCACTAGTTTCTGTATAAGAGACATTGACTCTTATTGTGTGTTCGTTACTGCATTGTTGGGAACCTTTACACACATAATGTTAGATGATAAATGTTGTGGCTCTCTTTTTCTGTAATAAAAAAATTGCTTATGCAACCACCATCCAGTTGCTATTTATTCATGGAATTCACCTGCTATTCATACATATCATATTGGGCATCCTGTTATATACATTTTAGTAATATAAGGGTGTGTGCATGTGTTCATTGGTTTCATTAGTTGTTTGTGCTAGAACTAATTTGTCACTTGAGAGAATGTCTTTTATGGATGGTTTGTCCGCATGAAAGGACAAGATTTAGAATTCTTGTTAATAATTTTTTGGTATTCTCCATTTGTCACCATTTTCTATACATACATTTTTTTCTGTAAATTGTGGGTGTAAATTCCCATCCATTTTTTTCTATCAATATTACTGTATTGATGTTCTCACATTTTAACATTTGTATACTGTCTATTTCTTTGGATTGAAGGCAATTTATAGAATAACGGGGAAATGGTAGCTGTATCACTGCTAGCACTCATATATCCTATGCAATAAAATGGTCCTAAATGTTTGGATATGGCCAGAAGTCTTCATTCTGTGAGGTACCTTGTACATTTAGGTTTGTTTGCCTTAACTTGGCTGGCTTTCAGGAAAACATTAGAATCTAGACTTTTTAACCTGGTGTTTCACATCTAGTTTTGAATATTGGATGAGCATCAGTTGTGCTTTAAATTTGTTTCATAACTGACGTTGCCAAATTTTGTTCTGTGCTAATTATTTTGTATCCTAAATCCTCTGAAAAGATAATATAAAATGTTATAAATTAAAGGTAACTGTATAAAATAATTATTTTTTCTTGATTCCATGTAGTTAATATTTTGATCTTATTTGGACTAATCATAATTGAAAAAAGTAATTCTCCCATGTCCCAAGTGACGATTCTATTTTAACCAGAAGATTTTCTATTTTTTTTCCCTAGAGGGATTTGTAATTGCAAATGATGTAGACAACAAGCGTTGTTATCTGCTAGTTCATCAGGCAAAGCGGTTGAACAGTCCTTGTATTATGGTTATAAATCATGATGCCTCAAGTATCCCTAATATACAGATCAATACTAATGGGAAAAAAGAGATCCTCTTCTATGACAGAATATTATGTGATGTTCCTTGCAGGTAAGTTAAACTAGGTAAAATTTAAAGCCAATATGCTGTTTGTGGCATACTTTTCTAATGCTAGTTGTTAACGACAGCAAATATAAACAAATACAGATGTAAAAACTATAAATAAACTGTTGCAGCACAATAATTATGGAATAAATGTATAAAATTACATCAATTTATAACTTAAAGGAAAATTGGTACAAAATGTTCTACAGATTGCACAGTCAATCCTTTTTTAATAACCCTTATTGAAACCAGCAGCTCAACTACTGCAGGTAGTCATAGCTTATTAAGGTAATTGGAAGTGAAATTTCTGTTGCTAACGTGCTTCCCCCAAAATAAGACACAACCAGAAAATAAGCCCTTGCTTGATTTTTAAAGAATATTTGTAATATAAGCCCTACCTCAAAAATAAGCCCCAGTTAAGATTGTCAGTCAGATGGACACATTTAGTACGTCTGTTGCAACACACAAGTTCGCTGGGGCCATCATGCATGGGCGGCTGTCGGGAGGCTCGCCCCGTGCGTGCAGTGGAGCTGGAAGACGAGGGGCCGAGCATGCAGGGACGGTGGCATGGCGCTACCCCCACCCCACCACCTGCCTTGTTTTCCCTTACGGCAGCACTAAGAAGCAGAAGCACAGGGAGGTATCTGACCTGGCCCATCGGACATACTATGCAGCTGCCTGCTCTGTTGCAGCTGCGGGCAAGCAAAGGCAGATGGGACAAAGTGGGTGGCTGGGCATGTGGTGCAGCTGGCAGGCTGGATCGTGTGCCTAGTCCTATGCCTTTGCCTCTGCCTGCTGTTTGGAGGGCTGGACGAGAGGTCTCAGCACTTGGACTCACCTGTGCTGTATGGGTTGCGCAGTCCCAGAGTGCACTGGCCAAAGGGCCTTGGTCTGTGGCTGCTGCCAGACAGCGTTGGTCCCCACGCACATGCTGCCTCCTTTGCACACGCTTGGGAGGGCACCCAGCTGGGCTGGGCTGGGGGCAGGGTGGCAGGGGCTGGTCCATCTTTGGGGTGGCTCCATGGGCCAGATATGGGCCAATTCAGCCTGTGGGCCTTATGTTTGACATGTCTGTTGTACATGTAAAAATAAGACCTTGTCTACAAATAATCCCTAATGCGTCACTTGGATGCAAAAATTAATATTAGACCTGGTCTTATTTTGGGGGAAACACGGTAATTGATGCGGTCATAAAATGTGATGTCTCATGATCTCCTTACTTAGCAATGGCAATTCTGACAGCTCTCAGTTGCCATTATTAAACAAGTTGTTTAGCAACTTTCATTGTGCTAAAGTGATTAGGAAATAATATACTCATAAATAAAAAGGAAATAGTGACTACAGCTGTATAGTTTTTGGAATCTATAGATAGTCCAAACTGCAGCTGCACAAATAATTAAGCCTGAGTGTTTTAAGTCTTTTGATGCTAGTTATCTACAAATGTTTGTAGGACTGCCTGTCTCCTTTGCCTGTATGGTAAGATTGTGACAGGGTTGGCATGCTTTGCATTTCCCCTGTTAACAATGTCATCTTGTTGTATTAGGAGATTTGCTTCTCGGTAATATTTTTTCCCTGAACTGATTTGCCTTCAAGAAAGCTTTCTTATTTCACCTGTAAGCCACCCAGAATTGCATAAAGCGCTGGCCATTGAAATCCAACTTATAAATAAGTTAGTTAATCAACACCAGGGCTAATTGTCCTATTTCATTTATTTTGTGTCAATTAAAATTCACCTGTGCTTCTCAGGAAACCTAAACACTTATAAACACTACAAACTGGTTGAGGAATGAAGAAGGGGAAAGTTAGAAATCTTAATAAGCATAAGGTTGTTTATCTTACATCATGGGGAATGGTATTCTAAACATATTAGAAATAACAGTTAATATTAACATGAATTCTTTTATTTCTTTATCTTTAAAGATTTAAGTTATCTATCGGAGTTTTAATAACCCCTAATCATGGCTATTTAAATACTATTATATACAATACCATTTGTGTTTTACACTTATAATAAAATATTAACTTTGAAAAATATAATTACTTAAAAATGCACTACTGTAATTTCAACCTATTTGTATAAAAATGTTATATTGCAACTAGCTCAGAACGTGTAACTTTCATACTATCTTGGAATTAATGTGAAAATGTCTCTTTTAGTGGAGATGGAACCCTGAGAAAAAACATTGATATATGGAAAAAGTGGAGTACACATAATAGTTTGCAACTACATGGGTAGGAAAATATTTTATTATATATTTCTTTCAACTTGTGGAATGAAATTAAGAATTTGATTAATGTCTTGACTTTTTTTCTATATACAAGAATACAAACTTGGATTTTTGATATTTCCACTCTATTCTGTTTGGAAAACTCCAGCCTAAGGACTGCATTGTGCCCAGTTCTCCATATGTATAGAAATTTGTAATGTCAGGGTCTCCATAAGTAAGTTGACATAATATGCTTCATTTGGATGAATTCCCAGACCCCCTTTACAAATAAAATATTCCAAGGTATATATTTTGGATAAATTTCAATTTATTTTTATTTTTCTGATTGCCCATTCCACCAAAGGCCAGACATTTCATTCTAATATTTCTAATGTGGGAAGTGGACATTTAAGCTATTGAATCCAATCTGCTGCTCAGTGCAACAATCCAAATTAGAGCCTATTTGCTATTTGGCAGATTACTCTCCAGCCTTTGCTTTATTCTTTTGATTTTTTTTTTTTTTTTTGTTATTCTAAAATGTGTTTTTATTTTCCATTTTTCATTTTCATACAGTCACATATATACTGTGCATAACCGGGGCCATACAACATTAAACAATAAACACAGCAATTCCTCTTGTCAACTATACTGCCAAAAATAGAAACCCAATATACCTCTTCGACCCTCCATACACCTCTTTCT